GCTTTCTCTTCCCCATTTGGACTTCACGAGTATAATAGGCTTCCTCAGGGTCTCTCTAATAGCCCTGCCACTTTTATGAGAATGATGATGTCAGTCTTTGGAGATGAGAATTTCAGCAGTGTTCTCTGTTACCTTGATGATTTGATGGTGTTTGCCCCTTCCGAGTCTGTGGCCCTTCAACGTCTTGAAATGGTTCTCTCACGGTTGTCCCATCACAATCTGAAACTGGCTCCAAAGAAATGTTGTTTTCTGAGACGCTCTGTTAAATTCCTTGGACACATCATTAGTGAGGAAGGAATTAAGACTGACCCAGGGAAAGTCGAGGCAATAAACATGATTCAAGCTTCTGATTTAATGGAACCTGATGGAAAAACACCCTGTCAAAAAAAAATCAGATCCTTTCTCGGAATGGTGTTATATTATCAACATTTCATTGAAGGATGTTCGGCAAAAGCTAAGCCTCTATTCAAGTTGACATCAGGCACAGTCAAACAGACTCCTGTAATGAAAGGACGCAGACCAAAAAAGAAAGTTACTTACCTCAAACTTTCCCCAGCCGACTGGACAGCAGAATGTGAAGAGGCTTTACAGACTCTGAAAGTAGACTTGACAAAAAATGTGACACTGGCTCACCCAGATTTTGACCAACCTTTTATCTTGGCTGTCGATGCATCTTTTGATGGTGTTGGAGCTGTGTTGTCGCAAGTTTTGCCAGGTGAGGATATTGCCAGACCCATAGCCTTCGCTAGCCGAACTTTATCTCGCTCGCAAATGAACTATCCAGCCCACAGATTGGAGTTCTTTGCTTTAAAGTGGGCAATCACCGAGAAATTTAGCCACTGGTTGAGAGGAAGACACTTTACGGCATGGACTGACAATAATCCTCTAACATATATTTTAACTAAACCACGACTTGATGCATGTGAGCAAAGGTGGGTGGCAAAACTTGCTTCTTACAGCTTTGATCTAAAGTATGTCCCAGGAACAAAAAATGTTGTTGCGGATGCTCTGAGCCGTGAGCCATTTGTTGAGTCTTGCATAGGACACCGCCTCATTACTGAACCATACTTATCTCTCTTGAAGGATGTCAGTGGTGTTGTTGATAATTCAGTCCAAGATGCTTTCAAGTGCGTAAATAACCATCAATCAGTAAAGAAAGTTGGTGAAAATTCATGTGACTCTACCAGTGATGAATCCTTGCATTCAGGATCTTTTGGAAGTCAGGAAGTTTCTGCTGTACTAGCAGCACATTCGACTGGTGGTTTGAGTGAAGTGATGGGGGCAGTTCCTCCTCTCTTTCAACCACAACAGGATAGTCCTCCTTTGCTACACAGTACCATCATTAGTGAGCAGGGGCAGGATACCACTTTGCATCGGATTCTCTATTATATTGAGCGACGTCGAAAACTATCTAAGAAAGAACAAGCAAAGGAGACTAAAAGTGTTAGACAACTGCTAAAACATCATGACAAACTGGCTATTTGTAATGGAGTGCTTTATAAGGTGAAAAGAGATCCAAAACTGAACAAGAAATTGTACCTTGTTGTTGTACCTGCTTCATTGAAGGCTCAAGTTCTTCATGGAATCCATGATGCAGCAGGACATCAAGGGCGTAGTAGATCTCTATCACTGGCAAGACAACGGTTCTTTTGGATCGGCATGAAAAAAGATATTGATGATTATGTGAAGACCTGTCATCGATGTGTAGTTGGTAAAACCTCAGAACCCAATGCTTGTGCTCCACTGGAAAGTATCCGAACATCTGAACCCTTGGAACTAGTCTGCATTGACTTCTGGTCGGCAGAGCTCAGAGATGGGAAATGCGTGGATGTGCTAATAGTGACTGATCATTTTACAAAAATGGCTCATGCATTCCCATGTCAGAATCAGTCGGCCAAGCAAGTTGCAAAGAGGCTCTGGAATGACTTCTTTCTGGTTTATGGATTCCCCAAAAGAATTCACTCTGACCAAGGGGCTAATTTCGAGAGTAAACTAATCAAGGAACTATTGACCATGGCAGGTGTAGACAAGTCACACACTACACCATACCACCCCATGGGTAATGGCATTGCAGAAAGGTTCAATAGAACACTTGGAAGTATGATCAGGACGTTGCCTCCTAAAACAAAGTCAAAATGGCCACAAATGCTACAGCAACTTACCTTCTGTTATAACTGCACAGAACATGAGACAACGGGTTTTGCGCCATTCTTTCTCATGTTTGGCAGAGTTCCTCGTCTCCCAATTGATGTTTTATTTCAGAATGTGCTTCTTAATGAGGATGTTGTGGATTACAAGGACTTTGTGTCCACACTGAGAAGTGACTTGCGAGAAGCAGCTCGTATAGCTCAGATGCACACTCTGAAAGAAACGGACAGACATGGCAGACTTTACAACAGGAAGGTGAAGGGTTGCCCATTAGCTGTTGGGGATAGAGTGTTGGTTGCAAACAGAGGTGAAAAAGGAAGAAGAAAAGTTGCTGACAAATGGGAGTCATCTCCATATGAAGTCATAACGGTGTATCCTAATATCAATGTTTACAGGATTCGGGAAGTCAACTCTGACAAAGTGAGGGTAGTTCATAGAAATCTGCTGTTACCTGTGAACTTTCTTCCAGTTGATGAACCCCAAGAACAGGATGAACAAGAGGATGACAGGAATGATGAAATTGTTGCCTGTGGAGAGGAATCTGATATTGATGGCAGAACGGCAAACTGGATATTGAGTAATCCAGAGGATTTTGTTGAGGACGTTGATCAATCAATGGATGCAAACTTAACCAATGTGTCGGACTGTTCTCTAGATATGTTGGACTCTGCAAGCCTTGATGCTGGGAATTTGAATGAAAATGATGTTGAAGAGATAAATACTGTTGAAAGGAGTGATGCAACTGTGACAGGTGATGTTGACTTACCTGAAGAAGGAGGTCAAAATCTCTCTAATTTGACTGAAAGAGAGCAGTTCACAAAGGCCACTGAGGAACTTGTGGTGTGCACTCAACCTAAGTGCTTGGACTCAGCAGTAGCTCAAACCAGAGTTGGTAGAATCATTAAGCCTCCTAAAAGACTAATTTGTGAAATGAATGAACAACACATGGACAGTTCTGACTCTACTGTGAGTTCTTTTGTTTATTTAGTTAAAAGCTTTTTCACATAGAATTGATACAATTTTTTTTTGAAAGGAACAAAGGAGAAACAGGTTGAAACAGTTTAGGGATCTAGCAAGGAGTTAGTACATGATTAAATATTTGAGGTGTAACAGGCATCTCTTTAGTCTGCTATAAGATTGGGGTTAGGCGCCTCCCTTATCTTATTGTACTCCTCATAGGAGAATATATTGATTGACAGAATCATACTCCATATGTTTTTTTCCCCTTCTTCCTTTATTGATTGAATACATGAAGTAGATGTCCCATGTATTGAATTTTTTTTCTTTTCTTTTCTTCAATGTTAGTTTGTTTGGTTAACATACATGTCCCCATTAAGCAGGATTTAAGGGGGGTGTATGTAACGAAATAAATATATACCATGTTAATAGTTCAGTATTAAATCCTGCTTTAATGGGAGTGCAGTTCCTGCTAGTTCGCCGGTGGCGCTATTGCGCACAGAGTCTGTGTATAGACTGCAGCAGAGATAGGGAGAACTGCTGTGGGTGAGTCGGGTTTGTGTTAGCTCCACACTAAAATATAAAAATATCATTTAAATGATTGATTGGATGCAGCTTTAAAAGTCTATCACACTTTATATACATTTATTGATCGACAGAGTGGGTTTTCTTGTCATATTTGTTTGATTTTGGTACTTTTAATCTCATCTTGATATTTTCCCCCATGTGCTTATACAGCAAGTGCTAATGGAGTTATATGTGTTTTAGATGTGGATGCTAAATTAAACCGTGTTGATCTCACTGTTACTGCTCTGTGTGCAGGTAATTTTCTATTATATTTTGTGTTAAGGTATTAAATGTGTTTATTCAGTGATATTAGTTACGCATTTTCTGTATTTTTATATTTCTGTCTTTGTTTTATATAATAATAATATAAGCTTTCAGTATAGACTGCAGCAGAGATAGGGAGAACTGCTGTGGATGTGGATGCTAAATTAAACCGTGTTGATCTCACTGTTACTGCTCTGTGTGCAGGGCAAAATAAAATCCTCCTCATCCAAGTCCAGTGTGTGTGTATTGCTGAAGGGTGAATGAAGTGGGTTCGGGAGTGAAGTATAAAGGTCACATATTTATATAATGTAATTTACAGTCAACAGAATCAATAATTCATGCAGACTAAAGCAAGAATGCTGTGAAAAACACTGAAATATACTAAAAAAATAAGTATTTCATGCAAATGTTTATTTGACTCAGTAAACAAAGCAAAAAGATGAAAAACACGTAATTATTTGATGATAACTGAAGCTGAATGTATGATTCTGGAGGCCGAAACAGTCAGGTATAGCAATATTTAATATTTAAAGTCAAAATGTCCCTAAATACACATAAAACGTATTTTTTTTTAATAGGAAACATGATATATGATCTGTGTTATTACACACAAGTAGTTCATTAAAAGTTTTGCTTTAAAAAATAGATGATTTACCTCAGGGATGCAAAATACACCCGCGTTTCCAGCATCCCTCAGCGACATATTGATGCTATACGTCGCTTTATATTCGTCACTTTTGATAAACTGCGTTTATACGATGAATAAAGGTAAATATAAATGTGAATAAGAACATATTGAGTTCCTCAAGAGTCCTGAATAACTCTACTGCAAGATATCAGCTGCCACGTAAACACCACAAACACTACACGTCAACGTAAAGTCCGCCAGACGCGCGTTCACAGGTGTAAACAAAATCTGAAGCAGATTCGCTATTGTTCACATTCATAAATCCGGTTTATGAATAAAATCGGCAATTGTTCACATTCAGAAATCCGGTTTAGTCGCTGATGCGCGTTAATAAACTGCTGTAAAAGTGATTCAGAGGTGTAAATTCTGCGTTTACCTGCGCATGATTTGGATCTCCATATCTTCAGGAAGAGGATAATGATGGCGATCAGATGACAGACATCTCCAGACAGTCGGAAGATGTTCATCTTAATGATCTTTCAGAAAGGATTGAGTTTTCTGCAGCTGCCCAGATGCTCGTCCTGCACAAATCAAAACTCTTTCAGCTCAGCGCGTGCGCGTCATGTCCACACAGACTGGCAGCAAAGATTATTATTATTATTTAAATATTGTGCACCCTCTCTCTGTATCTCTCTCTCTCTCTATATATATATATTAATGAATATGTATCGGAATGAGCGACACTACAGCGCGGACGGAGTCTCGGTGACGTGGCTGACGGTGCGCGCGGTCAGGATCCGGGTTTCCTCGCCACGCGCGTGCACGTTACGCGTCACACCCCCTGCGGCGCGCGCATTTAAAGGGATAGTTCAGCTAAAAATGAAAGTTTACTCACTACTTATTCACCCTCGAGTGGTTATAGTTAAGTTACTTATTTGCACCAAAGTACATTTGTTTTGCAGTTAAGAGTCAATTTATCATGCAACCGACACCATTAAATAAATAATTAAATAAATAAAATTTAAAACACACAAAACAAGTCTTCAGGTGTCCAGCCGTCTTATTAAAAAATACAAAACAAATCCTCCTATAGTTAAACTGCAAAATAGTCAGAAACAGTCCAAATATATAGGCATATATTAAACGTCTAAATACAGAAACACCACAGTCCAGGGGTGTCCACACTCGGTCCAGGAGATTTTAGCTCCAACCCTAATCAAACAGACCTGAACCAGCTAATCAAGCTCTTACTAGGTTTACTAGAAACTTCCAGGCAGGTGTGTTGAAACAAGTTAAAGCTAAAGTCAGCAGGACACCGGCCCTCCAGGACTGACTTTGGACACCCCTGCTTTAGTCCATATGTCTCAAACTGGACTCCTGGAGGGCCGCAGCTGTGCACAGTTCTGCTCCTACCCTAATCTAACACAGCTGATCAACTAATCAAGGTGTTCAAGACCACTAGATACTATTAAGCTGTGAGTTGGAGTGGTTGGAGCTAAACTCTGCAGAGCTGCAGCACTCCAGGAGTTGAATTTGACACTATCGCTTTAGGCCAGGAGTGTCCAAAGTCAGTCCTAGAGAGCTGGTGTCCTGCAGATTTTAGCTCCAACTTGCGTTAACACACCTGCAAGGATGTTTCTAGAAAGCCTAGTAAGAGCTTGATTAGCTAGCCCAGGTGTGTCTGATTGGGGTTGGAACTAAACTTTGCAGGACACCGGCCCTCCAGGACCGAGTTTGGACATGCCTGCTTTAGGCTATGCCTTATTCAGCTGTGTGGAATAAAACGTTCTTGATAAGGGTTAGTTCTACAGCTTGACACTAAACAAGTTTCTTCTGTAAAACACAAAAGAAGATAATTTAAAGAATGGTGGAAACCTGTAACCATTGACTCCCATAGAAGGGAAAGCATTGAAGTCAATGGTTACAGGTTTACAGCTTGCTTTAAAATATCTTTTTTTGTGTTCACCAGAAGAAAGAAACTCAAGGTTTGAAACAACATATGATGAGTAATTTATGACTTTTGTTTTTTTTATTTTTCTTTAATTTAAATTCTGTAATTTTAAATATTTTATTTTTGTGTGAACTGACCCTTTAAAGGGGACACACGTGTGTTAAAAGAGCGATGAGCATCTGTGCACTCAAAACCCATTTATTAATCAGAGCTGGGTGAGTTATTTCAGAAACTAAATACCAAAAACATCATTATAAATTTAAATGACTTTTTAATTAGGCTAATTTGCCTAAACAAAACACTTCTCAGTTTAATAATCTTACACAAACACTTAAATTCCCTTAACATTCATGCATGGAATTGTGTGATTTCCTGAATCAAACATGGCCTTCAGCTTTTTTTATTATACTTAAGAAAATGTACATAACATATCAACGCAATGACCCCATATTTCATACATACCATTTATTATTCTATTATTATTTTTAATCTTGATAAATGTAGTCTTCTTTAGTAGAAAAACAAGATGTACTCTGCGTTATGTATTTGTTTAACAGACATTAAAAATAAAAAAATACAACTAATCTGCTTCTCTGAATTGATTTGTACAGAACTGTTTGATTTATTTACTAAATTTAAGGCAAGCATATTATAAACAGCTGTAATAAACTGTTTAAAATGAAAAATAATTATTAATATTAACAGATTGAGTGTTTTAAGAGTGAATAAAGTGTAATAATAATGAGACACACACAACTGAGAGTTCCCAGAATCACCAACACGTGGGAAAAAAAGCAGATTTTACTGTATTTTACAATGAATTTAGTTGTCGTGTAAATCATCCGGCTATATAAACCTATGTGTTTTATAGTATATACTATACTATATATTTTTATAGTATATACTTTTTAACATGTTTTTCTTTACTGTGCTATTTAATGGTGCACACTATCATAGTTTACTTTGTGACTATGGCCACACAGATTTACTGCTTTGGCTACATTCAAATTATGATTTATAAATCTCTCTCTCTCTCTCTCTCTCTCTCTATGAGTATATTTGCATTGCAGTACCTTCACAAATAAAAAAAAATATGCTATGTGCGTCTATTAAAGTTCAAATGGAAATGACAAACCACATTATTGAAAAATAATCTACACAACAAAAGCGCATAACAGCAAACAATAGATATATTATACTATGAAAATACGATATTGTGAAAATGACGTGTCCGATAAAAGAATACGCTGAAGTCAATACCGCTGTTTTCCGCTAGAGGTCAGTCAAACTGCACAGGCGGGAAACCCGTCATGCACATTTATTCAAGTTGAGGCAGTTTAGCATCAATATATCTACACATCTATAGAGCTTTCACATACTATTTGCATGTTACCACCTCTGACAAAAAACATTTATTAAATATAACAAGACAAACTTATAGCTACATCAAACTATATAAACTTTAAGGAAATTTTAGAAATAACATCTGACACTTCGTTTATATAAGAACATATATAATTATAGTCATAAACAAGTATTTTTTTAATGATTAGAAATTTGTTGCATATGAACATATGACATTTTTCTATCCAGAAAATCAAATCATCTTGTCTATAGAAACATGCATTAAAACATCCAAACATATCTTTTAAATTCCAGATGTGTGTGTGTGTGTGTGTGTGTGTGTGTGTGTGTGTGTGTGTGTGTGTGTGAGAGATAGAGATTTGTATATGTTGCCATATATCGTATTTATATGTGTTCAGTTTATTTAACTAATATTAATAGCTAAACAACACACTTTATATATATATATATATATATATATATATATATATATATATATATATATATATATATATTACATATTTTGAATGAGCGCTTGAGAAACCAGTTTACTTTGATTGGTTTTTCACTGATTAACTGAATTAACCTGTTGTGGTGATTCTACAGTTGCTATGGTAACAAAACAACTACAGTAATTGATCTGTTGTGGTGATTCTACAGTTGCTATGGTAACAACAACTACAGTAATTGATCTGTTGTGGTGATTCTACCGTTGCTATAGCAACACAACAACCACAGTAATTGATCTGTTGTGGTGATTCTACAGTTGCTATGGCAACACAAAAACTACAGTAATTGATCTGTTGTGGTGATTCTACAGTTGCTATGGTAACACAACAACTACAGTAATTGATCTGTTGTGGTGATTCTACCGTTGCTATAGCAACACAACAACGACAGTAATTGATCTGTTGTGGTGATTCTACAGTTGCTATGGCAACACAAAAACTACAGTAATAGATCTGTTGTGGTAATTCTACAGTTGCTATGGTAACACAACTACAGTAATTGATCTGTTGTGGTGATTCTACAGTTGCTATGGTAACACAACAACTACAGTAATTGATCTGTTGTGGTGATTCTACAGTTGCTATGGTAACACAACAACTACAGTAATTGATCTGTTGTGGTGATTCTACAGTTGCTATGGTAACACAACAACTACAGTAATTGATCTGTTGTGGTGATTCTACAGTTGCTATGGTAACACAACAACTACAGTAATTGATCTGTTGTGGTGATTCTACAGTTGCTATGGTAACACAACAACTACAGTAATTGATCTGTTGTGGTGATTCTACAGTTGCTATGGCAACACAAAAACTACAGTAATTGATCTGTTGTGGTGATTCTACAGTTGCTATGGTAACACAACTATAGTAATTGATCTGTTGTGGTCATTCTACAGTTGCTATGGTAACACAACAACTACAGTAATTGATCTGTTGTGGTGATTCTACAGTTGCTATGGCAACACAAAAACTACAGTAATTGATCTGTTGTGGTGATTCTACAGTTGCTATGGTAACACAACTACAGTAATTGATCTGTTGTGGTCATTCTACAGTTGCTATGGTAACACAACAACTACAGTAATTAATCTGTTGTGGTGATTCTACAGCTGGACCCTTCGTTAACAGCAGATCTAACATACACAGTAGCTACAATACACTTACTACATACTGTAGTATGGATCAAAAACAGTATCATTTACTATACTACTGTTCTATAAAGGACAGCACCATAGCTCAGTGGTTAGCACAGTCGCCTCACAGCAAGATGGTTGCTGTTTCGAGCCTCGACTGGGTCAGTTGGTGTTTCTGAGTGGAGTTTGCATGTTCTCCCAGTGTTGGCGTGGGTTTCCTCCGGGTGCTCCGGTTTCCCCCACAGTCCAAACACATGCGCTATAGGGGAATTGATCAACTAAACTGGCCTTAGTGTATAAATGTGTGTGTGTGAGAGAATGAATGTGTATGGGTGTTTCCCAGTACTGGGTTGCAGCTGATAGGGCATCTGCTGTGTAAAACATATGCTGGATAAGTTAGTGGTTCATTCCGCTGTGGCGACCTCTGATCAATAAAGGGACTAAGCCGAAGGGAAATGGATGTATTGTTCCGCTAGAGCAGTGTGAGTGTGGGGTGCAACACTAGACTGACAGAGGAGCAGTGGACCATCAGCATCACATGAGGAAACTCACAAACCTTCATCCTTACATAACAAAGCCTGAAACACCACAGTAAAGCACAAACCTGCAGAAAAACACAGCCACTGAGCAGAACACACACACCCAACACACTGAGAACACACCGCAGAACACACACACCCAGAACACACACACCGGAAACACACATCGAGAACAGCAGAGCTCCTGAAGCACACACTCCTGCCGGAGGAGCCGATCTGAAACCCGAGCGCGAGCGGTGT